GCAAAAAACGGCCTTTATAAAGGCCACCACTTATTCTGTCGTTTTTACACTAGCTATACCGTCCACGTGTGTCATCTCCAATTCATTTGCTGTTCACATTATTACCTACTCCGTTGGTTTGCCGTCCATCGTTCAGATGTTGACATGATTAACCTTCGTCATTTGCAAGTTAATTGAATTCAGGTATATCAGTTAAAATACAATATTCTTAAGAAATACGACCAAAGGAGCGCATCTTAACACTCTTGTTGAAGATTTAAGACACCAAGTACCAAATACTTGCAATCAAAACTGAACACTTTTTTCGTTCGAAATAAAATGAGAAAGTCGAGAATAACATTTTTTTCCCCTTTTTTTCTATTACTTTAAGTTATGCACAAAATGGTACGACTCCCATTTATGTAAAAATTACGGTCCTAAAGTTATTGTAAATTAGTACGTTAAGGCCCTTAACATTTTTAAGGTTTTGTTTTTCAATTTTTTTTTTTTTTTTCAATATTGATTTTTTAATGTGGATTTTTAAATAAAACCCCCATAAAATTACGGAAAATCGGATTTTCTCGAAAGTTACTCGAACGATTCTCTTAAAAACTCAGTTATGTCATTGTCCTTTAAATGCTTTAAAAAGTATTGCTTCAAAACCCATTTCCGTAAAAATTACGGTTTAAAGTTATTGTAACTTGTGTTATTTTCACAAAAAAAAAAAAAAAAAAAAAAAAAAAAATTACAGAAATATCGGATTTTTGGAGAAAAGCTGGTTATTATCAAAATCAATATGTTCTTAACTAATTGCAACTTTTGTGATTTTTAACTATTGGAGCTTGTTGGAGAAGGTTATGTGTCAGAATGCTGATTTTTTTTTTTTTTTTGTAATATGTCATAAGAAAATAGTTGAAATTTAACTTCAGTGATTACATATCTATGTCTAATAATAGTTTGATTTAAAACGAACAAAATGCATTAGATTCAAAATTGACTCACCACAAATTGCGTTAGGTTAGGTCAGGTTAGGTTGGGTTGGGTTGGGTTAGGTTGGGTTTGGTTGGGTTAGGTTAGGTTAGGTTAGGTTAGGTTAGGTTAGGTTAGGTTAGGTTAGGTCAGGTTTAGCTAGTAGGTTGCAAAGTATACAGGTCATGGGCCTTTTACTACCTGAACTACAATCCACAACCGTTGTATTTTTTAAAATGTCAAAAATGTCGCATTAGCTTATACAACCAACTGTAAAAGCGAGCGGGACGAAGTGTTGCGGTATTTTTTTTTTCTATGAAATTTTAAATTTATAAAACAAAAATGACGTGGTTAAAATGAAAAGGTGAAGAAAGTTTAAAAGAGTCAAAGTAGGAACCACCATGTATTGCATTGTAAAACTAAAATAAATAAATATATAAAAATAGTAATACTGTAATAATAATTACTACAAACCAAAACAAAAATCACAGCTGTACCCAAAGGCATGCAGTATCCAAAGTCAATGGTACATTTCTTTCACATAAATGGAACGAATATTTTGAGTATCAAAAGTCAGATAGCGCATTAGCCCAACTGATGATTTTTATTATTGTTTAAAACATATCATGTTATTATTCTTTTGTTTACATTTTGTCAAACATTGTTATATGGTATGAAATCGTTTACCAACCGAGTGTGACTCTTACCACACGGGGTATGCCTACGACTTCAGTACGGGCAAAATCTCACTTAACCACGGCGAAACTGAAACGCCAGAGTCCGCTAGACGATTCCGCTCGTACTGTTGGTCACTCTGATCGACCAATAGTATGTCACTAGTTGGCCACGCCCCCACATATATACTGAAATCACTCCCTTATTTCTCCGCCAGAGCTATATATATCTATCTCGATCAAAGGATTTCGCCGACGCCGCCAAATGGCCACAACTTCAAACCCCACTAGGGAGGTTATCTTTGATGCCAGACATACCGTGATGGTGTCGTTCTCTTCGTCTTTACCTCCTCTAACGTCTCGCACGCGCAAATACCACCTACGACGACACGTGACCGTTTTATTAGAGTTTTAGTCGAAAAACTTTAATCGCTCGTTACTGGAAAACGCGTTTTTATACGCGAGATCCGATTGCGTCAACGTACTGGGATTTTATTTTACTCGATTTCATCTAACCTGTGTTGTCTCTCTAAAACGCACGGTTTACGAGTTATTTAATAAAAACCGCTCGGTGGTAAAAATTTTTTGAAAATTTCCCACAATTGTGAAACACGAGCCTAAATCCGTAGCCAAACAACTGCCTGGGTAGCTAAAAACCTGTTCGGTTGGACTATGTTAGAGAAAACGTGCTTTGACGTTGGAAACCCGTAATACGGTCCGAATCACGGTTCCTGCCCAGAGAATCTACTCTAATCAAAAAGCATCATGTCCGGACGCGGTAAGGGAGGCAAAGTGAAGGGGAAGGCAAAGTCCAGGTCTTCCAGAGCGGGACTCCAGTTCCCGGTCGGTCGTATCCACCGTCTGTTGCGCAAGGGCAACTACGCCGAGCGAGTCGGTGCCGGCGCTCCCGTCTACTTGGCCGCCGTCATGGAGTATCTCGCTGCCGAAGTTCTCGAGTTGGCCGGCAACGCTGCCCGTGACAACAAGAAGACCAGAATCATCCCTCGTCACCTCCAGCTGGCAATCCGTAACGACGAAGAGCTCAACAAGCTGCTCAGCGGTGTCACCATCGCTCAGGGCGGAGTACTGCCTAACATCCAGGCAGTCCTGCTGCCCAAGAAGACAGAGAAGAAAGCATAAGCTGGAACCTCGTCGTCGAGCGCAAAAAACGGCCTTTATAAAGGCCACCACTTATTCTGTCGTTTTTACACTAGCTATACCGTCCACGTGTGTCATCTCCAATTCATTTGCTGTTCACATTATTACCTACTCCGTTGGTTTGCCGTCCATCGTTCAGATGTTGACATGATTAACCTTCGTCATTTGCAAGTTAATTGAATTCAGGTATATCAGTTAAAATACAATATTCTTAAGAAATACGACCAAAGGAGCGCATCTTAACACTCTTGTTGAAGATTTAAGACACCAAGTACCAAATACTTGCAATCAAAACTGAACACTTTTTTCGTTCGAAATAAAATGAGAAAGTCGAGAATAACATTTTTTTCCCCTTTTTTTCTATTACTTTAAGTTATGCACAAAATGGTACGACTCCCATTTATGTAAAAATTACGGTCCTAAAGTTATTGTAAATTAGTACGTTAAGGCCCTTAACATTTTTAAGGTTTTGTTTTTCAATTTTTTTTTTTTTTTTCAATATTGATTTTTTAATGTGGATTTTTAAATAAAACCCCCATAAAATTACGGAAAATCGGATTTTCTCGAAAGTTACTCGAACGATTCTCTTAAAAACTCAGTTATGTCATTGTCCTTTAAATGCTTTAAAAAGTATTGCTTCAAAACCCATTTCCGTAAAAATTACGGTTTAAAGTTATTGTAACTTGTGTTATTTTCACAAAAAAAAAAAAAAAAAAAAAAAAAAAAATTACAGAAATATCGGATTTTTGGAGAAAAGCTGGTTATTATCAAAATCAATATGTTCTTAACTAATTGCAACTTTTGTGATTTTTAACTATTGGAGCTTGTTGGAGAAGGTTATGTGTCAGAATGCTGATTTTTTTTTTTTTTTTGTAATATGTCATAAGAAAATAGTTGAAATTTAACTTCAGTGATTACATATCTATGTCTAATAATAGTTTGATTTAAAACGAACAAAATGCATTAGATTCAAAATTGACTCACCACAAATTGCGTTAGGTTAGGTCAGGTTAGGTTGGGTTGGGTTGGGTTAGGTTGGGTTTGGTTGGGTTAGGTTAGGTTAGGTTAGGTTAGGTTAGGTTAGGTTAGGTTAGGTTAGGTCAGGTTTAGCTAGTAGGTTGCAAAGTATACAGGTCATGGGCCTTTTACTACCTGAACTACAATCCACAACCGTTGTATTTTTTAAAATGTCAAAAATGTCGCATTAGCTTATACAACCAACTGTAAAAGCGAGCGGGACGAAGTGTTGCGGTATTTTTTTTTTCTATGAAATTTTAAATTTATAAAACAAAAATGACGTGGTTAAAATGAAAAGGTGAAGAAAGTTTAAAAGAGTCAAAGTAGGAACCACCATGTATTGCATTGTAAAACTAAAATAAATAAATATATAAAAATAGTAATACTGTAATAATAATTACTACAAACCAAAACAAAAATCACAGCTGTACCCAAAGGCATGCAGTATCCAAAGTCAATGGTACATTTCTTTCACATAAATGGAACGAATATTTTGAGTATCAAAAGTCAGATAGCGCATTAGCCCAACTGATGATTTTTATTATTGTTTAAAACATATCATGTTATTATTCTTTTGTTTACATTTTGTCAAACATTGTTATATGGTATGAAATCGTTTACCAACCGAGTGTGACTCTTACCACACGGGGTATGCCTACGACTTCAGTACGGGCAAAATCTCACTTAACCACGGCGAAACTGAAACGCCAGAGTCCGCTAGACGATTCCGCTCGTACTGTTGGTCACTCTGATCGACCAATAGTATGTCACTAGTTGGCCACGCCCCCACATATATACTGAAATCACTCCCTTATTTCTCCGCCAGAGCTATATATATCTATCTCGATCAAAGGATTTCGCCGACGCCGCCAAATGGCCACAACTTCAAACCCCACTAGGGAGGTTATCTTTGATGCCAGACATACCGTGATGGTGTCGTTCTCTTCGTCTTTACCTCCTCTAACGTCTCGCACGCGCAAATACCACCTACGACGACACGTGACCGTTTTATTAGAGTTTTAGTCGAAAAACTTTAATCGCTCGTTACTGGAAAACGCGTTTTTATACGCGAGATCCGATTGCGTCAACGTACTGGGATTTTATTTTACTCGATTTCATCTAACCTGTGTTGTCTCTCTAAAACGCACGGTTTACGAGTTATTTAATAAAAACCGCTCGGTGGTAAAAATTTTTTGAAAATTTCCCACAATTGTGAAACACGAGCCTAAATCCGTAGCCAAACAACTGCCTGGGTAGCTAAAAACCTGTTCGGTTGGACTATGTTAGAGAAAACGTGCTTTGACGTTGGAAACCCGTAATACGGTCCGAATCACGGTTCCTGCCCAGAGAATCTACTCTAATCAAAAAGCATCATGTCCGGACGCGGTAAGGGAGGCAAAGTGAAGGGGAAGGCAAAGTCCAGGTCTTCCAGAGCGGGACTCCAGTTCCCGGTCGGTCGTATCCACCGTCTGTTGCGCAAGGGCAACTACGCCGAGCGAGTCGGTGCCGGCGCTCCCGTCTACTTGGCCGCCGTCATGGAGTATCTCGCTGCCGAAGTTCTCGAGTTGGCCGGCAACGCTGCCCGTGACAACAAGAAGACCAGAATCATCCCTCGTCACCTCCAGCTGGCAATCCGTAACGACGAAGAGCTCAACAAGCTGCTCAGCGGTGTCACCATCGCTCAGGGCGGAGTACTGCCTAACATCCAGGCAGTCCTGCTGCCCAAGAAGACAGAGAAGAAAGCATAAGCTGGAACCTCGTCGTCGAGCGCAAAAAACGGCCTTTATAAAGGCCACCACTTATTCTGTCGTTTTTACACTAGCTATACCGTCCACGTGTGTCATCTCCAATTCATTTGCTGTTCACATTATTACCTACTCCGTTGGTTTGCCGTCCATCGTTCAGATGTTGACATGATTAACCTTCGTCATTTGCAAGTTAATTGAATTCAGGTATATCAGTTAAAATACAATATTCTTAAGAAATACGACCAAAGGAGCGCATCTTAACACTCTTGTTGAAGATTTAAGACACCAAGTACCAAATACTTGCAATCAAAACTGAACACTTTTTTCGTTCGAAATAAAATGAGAAAGTCGAGAATAACATTTTTTTCCCCTTTTTTTCTATTACTTTAAGTTATGCACAAAATGGTACGACTCCCATTTATGTAAAAATTACGGTCCTAAAGTTATTGTAAATTAGTACGTTAAGGCCCTTAACATTTTTAAGGTTTTGTTTTTCAATTTTTTTTTTTTTTTTCAATATTGATTTTTTAATGTGGATTTTTAAATAAAACCCCCATAAAATTACGGAAAATCGGATTTTCTCGAAAGTTACTCGAACGATTCTCTTAAAAACTCAGTTATGTCATTGTCCTTTAAATGCTTTAAAAAGTATTGCTTCAAAACCCATTTCCGTAAAAATTACGGTTTAAAGTTATTGTAACTTGTGTTATTTTCACAAAAAAAAAAAAAAAAAAAAAAAAAAAAATTACAGAAATATCGGATTTTTGGAGAAAAGCTGGTTATTATCAAAATCAATATGTTCTTAACTAATTGCAACTTTTGTGATTTTTAACTATTGGAGCTTGTTGGAGAAGGTTATGTGTCAGAATGCTGATTTTTTTTTTTTTTTGTAATATGTCATAAGAAAATAGTTGAAATTTAACTTCAGTGATTACATATCTATGTCTAATAATAGTTTGATTTAAAACGAACAAAATGCATTAGATTCAAAATTGACTCACCACAAATTGCGTTAGGTTAGGTCAGGTTAGGTTGGGTTGGGTTGGGTTAGGTTGGGTTTGGTTGGGTTAGGTTAGGTTAGGTTAGGTTAGGTTAGGTTAGGTTAGGTTAGGTTAGGTCAGGTTTAGCTAGTAGGTTGCAAAGTATACAGGTCATGGGCCTTTTACTACCTGAACTACAATCCACAACCGTTGTATTTTTTAAAATGTCAAAAATGTCGCATTAGCTTATACAACCAACTGTAAAAGCGAGCGGGACGAAGTGTTGCGGTATTTTTTTTTTCTATGAAATTTTAAATTTATAAAACAAAAATGACGTGGTTAAAATGAAAAGGTGAAGAAAGTTTAAAAGAGTCAAAGTAGGAACCACCATGTATTGCATTGTAAAACTAAAATAAATAAATATATAAAAATAGTAATACTGTAATAATAATTACTACAAACCAAAACAAAAATCACAGCTGTACCCAAAGGCATGCAGTATCCAAAGTCAATGGTACATTTCTTTCACATAAATGGAACGAATATTTTGAGTATCAAAAGTCAGATAGCGCATTAGCCCAACTGATGATTTTTATTATTGTTTAAAACATATCATGTTATTATTCTTTTGTTTACATTTTGTCAAACATTGTTATATGGTATGAAATCGTTTACCAACCGAGTGTGACTCTTACCACACGGGGTATGCCTACGACTTCAGTACGGGCAAAATCTCACTTAACCACGGCGAAACTGAAACGCCAGAGTCCGCTAGACGATTCCGCTCGTACTGTTGGTCACTCTGATCGACCAATAGTATGTCACTAGTTGGCCACGCCCCCACATATATACTGAAATCACTCCCTTATTTCTCCGCCAGAGCTATATATATCTATCTCGATCAAAGGATTTCGCCGACGCCGCCAAATGGCCACAACTTCAAACCCCACTAGGGAGGTTATCTTTGATGCCAGACATACCGTGATGGTGTCGTTCTCTTCGTCTTTACCTCCTCTAACGTCTCGCACGCGCAAATACCACCTACGACGACACGTGACCGTTTTATTAGAGTTTTAGTCGAAAAACTTTAATCGCTCGTTACTGGAAAACGCGTTTTTATACGCGAGATCCGATTGCGTCAACGTACTGGGATTTTATTTTACTCGATTTCATCTAACCTGTGTTGTCTCTCTAAAACGCACGGTTTACGAGTTATTTCATAAAAACCGCACTCTCGTTCTAATGCTGGCCTTATTGTATTGTATTGTTTCCCTCGTCTCCTATACGGTACGTCCAGAGTGCACGCCGATTCAGTTAAAGATCTTTATTTTTTTTTTTTTTAGCAGTTCCTTCTTGCTAACCGAATCAGTAGCGGCGGCGTATTTCCTGATGGCCACCAACAAAATACGTACCGTTAATTTTGATTGTTTTTCTTCTTCTATTTCTACTTATTCAACTCGTATTTCAACTGACGTACTCGCCGTGAAAATACCTATATTTCTTACATCCTGAGTTTTCTCTCTAAAACGCACGGTTTAATTTTTAACGCTTTTTTGTTCGAGGAAGTTTTTTGATTGTGAAAATAAAATGATCGTTGGTCAGGGTTTGAGTAATAAAAATTGGTAGAAAATTTGTTGATTGGCACTCAATGTTTGTACTTCTATCGTAACACTTAACAGTCAAGCTTGACGTTCGTTTAATTATACTGAACAGTCAACAGTTGGTAGTTAGTTGTATCGAATCTATCGAATCGTTTGTATTGTGACAAGAGTTCTGACGGTTTTCATGTCTGTTTAAGCGTTGGAATGATATGAAATTGTAAGATATAAACAGCGTACAAGCTTGGGTGTAAAACGAATGACAATATTGGTGGCCTTGATAAAGGCCGTTTTTAGGGAGTGGGGCGTGCGACATGGTCCCGCACACAGCTCCACAGGGATCGGTGAGCAGCTTAACCGCCGAAACCGTACAGAGTGCGGCCCTGGCGTTTCAGAGCGTAGACCACGTCCATGGCGGTGACGGTCTTTCTCTTGGCGTGCTCAGTGTAGGTGACTGCGTCACGGATGACGTTCTCCAGGAAAACTTTTAGAACACCTCGGGTCTCCTCGTATATCAGGCCTGAGATACGTTTGACTCCACCACGACGGGCGAGACGCCTGATAGCCGGCTTGGTTATGCCCTGGATGTTGTCACGCAACACCTTGCGATGACGCTTTGCTCCTCCCTTACCGAGCCCCTTACCACCTTTGCCGCGTCCGGTCATGTCGATTAGATTGGATTGGCCGAGTCGAAATGTGACGGTTACTCGGTTTCCAGAGGTCTCGTCACCTAGAGGTAAACTCCCGTTGGTGGAGACCTTTGGCCAATTGAAAGCGGAACACTAACCGTCGAGACCCACCCGCCAACCCTCGTGTTCATCATTCTCTCGCTTTCGCACCTTCCGAAAGAGATTGCCATGGCACGAACAAAGCAAACAGCCCGTAAGTCCACTGGTGGTAAGGCTCCCAGGAAGCAGTTGGCAACCAAAGCCGCCAGAAAGAGCGCACCGGCCACCGGAGGTGTCAAGAAACCCCACCGTTACAGGCCCGGAACTGTAGCCCTGCGTGAGATCCGCCGTTACCAGAAGAGCACCGAGCTGCTCATCCGCAAACTGCCATTCCAGCGGCTGGTCCGTGAGATCGCTCAGGACTTCAAGACCGACCTCCGTTTCCAGAGCTCCGCCGTGATGGCTCTACAGGAGGCGAGCGAAGCCTACTTGGTGGGCCTGTTCGAAGACACCAACTTGTGCGCAATCCACGCCAAGCGAGTCACCATCATGCCCAAGGACATCCAGCTAGCCCGCCGCATCCGCGGAGAGCGTGCTTAAGTCACTTCAGGGGGACCCTTCGTGCTCGCCCGCACCAAAAAACGGCCTTTCTAAAGGCCACAAATACCCATTGTCGTTGTTACACTAGCTACGACGCAACCTCTTTCAGCACCAAGTCCAAGTCCAAGTTCATATGATTGTGGCGACTAGCGCCACGTCTGGGGGAAGTGCCTGCTCGCTGGGAGCATATACTTCCGGTCTGCTGTGGGTCCAAGCCCTGGTAGCTCAGCTACCTGTAGACGTCAACGTCGTTCTGGGAGTTAGTCGTCGATCCGGGGGCGAAGCTGGGGAACATCCTCAGCGACCAGGTCCCTGATGTGTTCCCACGGAGAGTCATCCGCCGTCTCTTCAAGTCTCGCTCGAAGGCCGTCTACGAAGTCTCGGAGAGTTGTCACTGCCGTGGAGTCCCTGATGACGGAGTTCCTCACGTACCAGGGTGAATCTGTCGCCTGCCGAAGAGCCTTGCTCTGGACGACGAGCAGCCTCCGTCTAGCGGTTCTGCAGGTGAGGTGGTACCATGCAGGGGCTGCGTACGTGAGGACAGGCCGAAGCAGGGCCGTGTAGAGTCTGACTCTTGCAGCCGTCGACAACTTCCGTGACTTGAGCAGCGGGCGGATGGCGCCAAGACCTTTCCTGGCGAGGTCGCAGACCCTCTCGACGTGGGGAGTCAGGGTGAGTCGCTGATCCAGCAGGACGCCGAGGTACTTCACCCGGCGCTTCCATGGGATGTCGGCCCCGTCTAGGTGGAGGTGTTGACCATCGTCCTGCCTCCTCGACCTCGTGAAGGAGATGGCCTCACTCTTGTCAGCGTTGACTTTGACTCGCCACTTCGTCAGCCACGGCAGCAACAGGTCCAGCTGTCGCTGGACATACACCCTGGACATCCTCAGGTTGGCGGAGGTGGCAGTGAAGAGCGCATCATCTGCATAGAGCGAGAGCTGCACTCTCGGCGCCAGGGGTATGTCATTGGTGTACCACAGGTAGAGTATCGGCCCGAGAACCGACCCCTGTGGCACACCCGAAGAGACTGGCCGTGGTGTGGAGGTCGCCCGTCCAACGGAGACCCTGAAGCGGCGAGCGGTCAGGTAGCTCTTGACGAGCCTGTAGATCGAGCCGGGTAGAGGGGAGGACGCCAGCTTGTAGAGAAGTCCCTCGTGCCAGACCCGGTCGAAGGCTTTGCTCACGTCGATCAGGACTGAGGTCGAGTGGTGCTTCCGTTCCATCGCTCCAGCGATGGTGTTGAGGACCCGCCGCAGCTGGAGGGTGGTGGAGTGGCCCCGCCTGAAGCCGTACTGCTCAGTCCTGATCGAAGAGAAGAACTCCTCGGGGAATCTCGCCAGGATGATCCGCTCCAGCATCTTGGAGAGCACAGGCAGGAGGGAGATCGGCCTGTGGTTCTCGGGGAAGATGTGGTCCTTGCCGGGCTTGGGGATGAGTATGACATTCGCCAGCTTCCAGGTATCAGGGAAGTGGGCCAGCCTCACGCAGGAGTTGAAGAGGCAGGTGATGACTACAATCACCCAAGCCGGCAGGTTCTTCAGTGCTGGAGTCCCGAGGGAGTCCGGTCCAGGGGCCTTCTTCGGACGGAGTCGAGCGATGTGGCCCTTCACCTCGCTGACGGTCACGTGGGGGATGTCCTCTTCGTCGGAGTCCGGCTCGTAGGTCTCTACGAAGTCGTCCACAACCTCGCAGAAGTCTTCGTCGTAGACGTCCGGGTGTGGGGAAAACTGGTCTTCCAGCGAGTCTGCGAAGGTCTCTGCACGGTCTTCGGGCGAGTAGACGAGCCCGCGTCCCCCATGCAGCGGCCTGTTGTGGGTCTTCGTGCCACGCAGAGCCTTGGCGATCTTCCAGATCCCGTCGTTGGTGTCAGCCTGGCCCTCGACGAAGTCCTCCCACTCCTGGGACCGATGCTCAGCCAGCAGTCGGGAGCACCTCCTGGCCTGCCGGTTGAAGTCCGCCTTCGCTCGAGGGCAGCGGGACTGTTGGTACGCCCTCCTCAGGCGACGACGCAGGGCGATCTCCTCCCGCAGCCCCTGGGGAAGTGGTGGGGGGGCCCTCGGGTCAACGTCAGAGCTGGCGGCAACCACAGTGTCCTGCAGCAGCGTTGACAGGTCCAGGACTTGCTGGTCGAGCTCCTCTGCCGTCTCAGGTGGCGGGGGAGGCGGTCGAGGGGCGTTGGCCAAGAGGTTGGCGAACTTCGCCCAGTTTACCCTCTTCCTGCGGACCGGAGGGCGGTCGGGGACTCCTCCCTGCGGCAGATCGAAGATCACCGGGACGTGGTCAGAAGAGAGGTCGGAGACGACGAAGACTTCAATCGGGCCATCGAACGAGCCAGCCAGTCCGATGTCCAGGATGTCGGGCGGGTGTCCAGCACGGGAGTAGTGTGTGGGGTCGGCCGGGGCAACCACGTTGATGTGAGGGTGGGCGGTGAGGTAGCGCCTGAGAGCAGCTCCAGTGAAGTTTCCTCTCCTGCAACCCCAGTCCAGGTGTTTGGCATTGAGGTCGCCTGCCAGAAGCGCCGGGGTGTCGGGGGGCAGCAGCAAGTCCAGGAGTCCGGGATCAAGGCGTCTCCCTGGGGGGTTGTAGGCAGAGGAGATTTCCAGCTCTGCACCGTCGTGCTGGAGGGCGATGGTCGTCACCTCGATGCCAGGCGGGAGGTTCCTGACGATCGGTCTGTGGGTGACCCGTCGATGAACCAGTATCGCCGAGCCACCACTGGCACGTTGTTGCAGAGGCCTGTCTGTCCGGTGAGTGTAGTAGTTTCGGACGTTGAACCTGTCCCCACCGCGCAGATGCGTCTCCTGGATGAGGGCAACGTCAACGTCCATGTCAGTGAGGAGTTGTGTCAGCTCATGGCGTCTGTCGGCAAGCCCGTCGGCGTTCCACGTGAGGATGCGAAGTCTACGCATGATGTTGGGTCAACTGGTCAACAAGTCGCTCGACGACGACCAACATGCTCCTCAGCGTGGAGATGAGTTGAGCCAGCTCAGACTGCTGCGACGGGCTCTTGGACGACTGGGCCGGGGTTGAGGCCGGCTCGATAGGCTGGGCAGGGCGGCTGGGCTGCGGGGCAGGGCTGCTGGGCTGCGGGGCTGGGCTGCTGGGCTGCGGGGCTGGGCTGCTGGGCTGCCGGGCAGGGCCGCTGGGCTGGCGAGGAGGGACTTCCAGGCGAGGGCGGGGAGTTCGCCTCACTCGAGGGTTCGGGGTCTCAGCCGGGGCGGCGGACTGCTCCACAGGAGGGGTGGGTGTTCGGGGTCTCGGGCCGGAAGCTCTGCCGCGGTTGTCCGGATTTCGAGGAGCTCGACGACGTCTTCTCCGCTGAGTCCGGAAGCCCTCGTCATCGACCTCGGGAGCCCCAGGCGCCTCTTCGTCCACTGGGTCAGGTCTCGGAGCCGGCGGGTCGACCCGGCGCGGTTGACGGCCCGACGGTGCCGTGGACGATTTCGCCGCAGCCGCGTACGAAGCCCGTTGCAGAGTCTTGTAGCAAGTGCAGCCCCTGTAGTTGGCAGTGTGGGCCTCACCACAGTTGCAGCACTTCGCCTGGGCTGCTGGCTCCTTGGGGCACTCGGTCGCTGGATGGGTGTCCCCGCAGCGGACACAGCGGACCTGGCGGTGGCACTGGCCCGATCCGTGGCCGAAGCCCTGGCAGCGGTGGCATTGAATGGGTCCGTTGGGCCGCTTGTACTGCCGTACCTCCACCTTGCAGTAAAAGGCTCGCCTTATTTCATACACAGTGGACGGCAGGGAGTATCCTTCCGTCCTGCGGATCGTGAGGAGCCAGAGGCCAGTCGGCATTCCTCGGCGAGTCTTCATCATTTTCACTTCGGATATGTCGAAGTCGTGAAATTCCGCCATAATCTCATCTGGTGCTAGCGTCGGCGGCAGGCCCTTTACCACCACCTTGAGCAGCCGCTCGGTGCGTAGGGCGAAGGTGTGGAACGGTACTCGCTCTTGCTGCAGATACCGCTGGACGGCGCGGAAGTGGGGTACAGTGTCCACCCTGATCCGCAGATTCTTCCCCGTACATGAGGCGTCGAATTGACCACCAACCAGTTGGCCGATGGCGACGGCGTGGGCTGGCCAGCTCCGCGGCATGTCCAGGAGGATAGGCGGAGGCCGTGGCTCGTTCCGCGTCGGGGCCGGATCATCCTCCATGTCGGAGTCAGCGGGTGTCTGGAAGGTGTCTTGGCCGGTTTTGCGGGCCTTCCGCTCGGCAGGAGGAGTCGGGGACGCTCGCCTCTTGTTGGTGGTCTGGTGGCCTTGATAAACGCCGTTTTCTCCAGACGACGGGCAGGGGTTCGCCTGGCAACTGTTCCCCTCGCCGCCAGTGAAGACGAACGGGCCTCCGCCAGGGGTGGCAGTGGCGCACCGTTGGTCGACACCCGCTCGGGTCACCGCAGCAGCGGTCTTCCCCCAGGCACTGATCTCCGTCCCCGTGAGGGGAAGTCCCGGGGGGGTGGAGTTGCTGGGCCGGGCGGCGACAGAGTCAGAGAGCCGGGCGGCGGCTAGGACGGGGTGAGCTCCGCCGGGGGCTGGAGACATCTGGTGGCCTTTACTAAGGCCGTTTTTCTGGTCCGCGGGTTGTTGTGAATCAAAGCTCCACACAGAAGCTGGGGGTCGGTCCGTGTCCGAAGTCGAGTCCGTGGGCGATTGCAGGGTCGTAGTCGGGCCCGACGCGCGAGGCAGGGCTGCAGAGCCAGAAGGCAAAGCAGCGGGCGCATCGGGGTGGCCTTGTAAAAGGCCGTTTTGCGGCAGGTCGCAGCTCACGGTGAGAAGCTCCACCGGAGGGGTCCCTGTAGTCCCGCCTTCGTCTTCTTCTTCCATCACGAGTTAGAGATGTCCAATCTGTGCTGCGCTCCGAGGTGTTGCTCCTTCGAAGGTTGGCGATCGAATGATTCTTCTGTGTGGAGCTTCGCTTCACAACCACCCGCGGACCAGGAAAACGGCCTTAGTCAAGGCCACCAGATGTCTCCAGCCCCCGGCGGAGCCCACCCCGGCCTAGCCGCCGCCCGGCCCTCTAACTCTGTCGCCGCCCGGCCCAGCAACTCCACCCCCCCGGGACTTCCC